CCCCTTCCTTCCCCTTCCTTCTTGAAAACACCTCTCTTCTGTTTTTTACCAAAATTCAGCATTTTGTCTGAGAGCAGATTCAGATAACAAACTAACAGAATTTTGTGATAGTATTAATTCTGTTTATGCTGCCCACAGACCATCTTCACTGATTTAAGCAGCCAACATATTTTAACTGCCTGTGCAAACATAGAGTAGCATTACATGGCAAGCAGTACAATTATATAGAAATGATATGCTGTTACAGAAAACAGCAGGTGCTCCTGTGTCATTGGATTGTATTTGCAGGTTGCTGACAAAAATAAATTTCTACAGTTTCAGAAATTGTGGAGGAAGCGTAGGACAGACTGTTTGACCTGCTCAGATGACAAAATTGCCAGGAGACTTGCAAATACAGAATGTTCTTTATTGGTGAATGCAATGGAGATATTTTACACAGGCAAAACTTCCTCTTGTTGTGAACTTATCTGGCTTTTAAAAAAACATTCTGTATCTTATAAAGCAAACGTACTTAATTGGACGGCTAATGAGGACAGAGCATTGTAGCCCTTCTGAAGTCTCTTTATAGTATATGGCTGTAATCTAAAGCAGAGATTTTCAAAGCTAATTCTGAGAGAGAGCCATTACCCCCAAAAGTTAATGAGGTTGGATGTTCCTTTGAACTCCATACAAATGCTAATCTAAATCCTCCAAGTGGCAAAGTCTGGCAAAATAACCATGTATTTCTGTGCAAGCAGCAACGTAGTGTTAGTAGTTGCTGTCTTCCTCGATAAGCAAGGTCCTTTACTGAATAACTTCAGAGGTCAAACTGCAGCTGATGAAGTTCTGAGTACTTTAAATGTGCTACACAGCTATAAGTGCAAGGAGGACAGACTGAACTTACCTATTCTGAGGTGCCTCTGCTTTCTTCCCTGCTCCTGTTGCTACAGAACTGATGTTATTTTACAGATATTAACAACAGAGAGGACCCCAGTAACACAAGGTCATTGGTATTTCTACTGCCCTCTGGCTTAGACTAGCTCTAGGTTTAGGTAGCTAGGGTGAGATATTCATGGGGCTTGAAACCGCTGGCAACAGGAGCGTTCATGACTTCATGCTAGCCCCTGCCTTAAACCAGCTGAACTAGCTTATCAGGCTCCCTCGCGTCCTAGGTTGTATCAAGCATCTCCATTCATACTCAATCAGTCATCTACTCTTAGTACCTCAACCCAGAGAAGTGTGTTAAAGTTTCAGAAAGCCTTTAATGGAGCAACAGCTCCTGAAGGCATAGCTGTGCTTGCAGCGCTGAGGATGAAAAACATCATGGAAAAACTGGATCTTATTAGCTTCCAGCACCCTTTATACACAACAGTGCTCCCACTTAAATTGAAGTTAGATAGGTTAATTGCATCCAGTAGTCTGTAATTTAGGAGAAGCAGGCTAACAGCCCTGGCAGCATGCAGTGGTTGCACTAAGACTGAATGAAAAATCCATTTCATAAAGTCAACAAGGATCTGTGAGCTGCATGAATCATCACAGCAAGTTTGTGGCACTGTGAATTGACAACACAGAGACAATCAGGTGTGTTTTTTATGTCAGGTTTTTAGTCTGTTTTTTCTAGTGCTAGTGGAAAAGGTATTGGCTAAACAACTTATGTAATTCACTGAAGAATAAAATTCTAGCATATTATTTTCATATTTTGTCTTTGTCGTGTAGTCTTGTTTCCCCAAGGTGGCATTTATTGCTCTAAAAATTTGAGAAAAGCTCCATGATAGCAGAACATCACTAGAATGAAGGTCTTGTTCCTCAATAAAAGATTTGTTACTAATTATTTATAATGATACTTCTTTGTTATAAAAAGATGCCATTTGATACGTATTTTTGTTGATACGTGCAGCAGAATGAAGAGTGGAGATAAATTAATTCTGTTTCATTCGCAGTGCACAGTCACTTGCGGTGGTGGAATAAGAACTCGTAATGTCACTTGTGCCAAAAATAATGATGAGCCATGTGATGCTTCCAAAAGACCAAACTCTAAGGCCCTGTGTGGTCTCCAGCAATGTCCTTCTACTGGAAGATTTCTGATACCCCCACTGGTACCCAAAAGAGGAAAGATCATAATCAGAAAAACTGCTAATCGTGAATGGAGCCCTCCTCGCAGAACACCAAGTCCGAGCTCACATACAACAACAAAATTACCCAAGCCTGAAGGTGTAACTCCCTGTTTACCTACATCCTCTAGTTTCAGTAATGTCTCAGAAAAAGAAGGGACAACCAACAGAACATTACAAAATAATTTTGCTGAAGCAAGTGATGTTTACAATTATCCAGTTGTTTCTACTGAAAATAATTCATTCCAGCATGCTACTCCATGGCCTTTTCATAATAGCTTAAGTACTGAAATTACAAGGCATGCTGAAAATATTTCCGAAAGTGAGCCAGTTTCTACTGTAGAGAGTGAGGTGCAAAGAAATGAGGACACTTCTGTCTCCTCTTTCACCAGTAATCCAGAAGTAACTTCCAGCTATGATTACTTAACCGAAGAATCTGACGACATTGATGGATCACTTGGAGGCAGTGAGAAACCAACTGACCTCGTTAACAGCACAGAACTCAATCCTGAAATCAGAACCAGGAGCACAACCCTAGATACCAGCTCTCGTGTCCTTCAGAATGAAAGCGTGACTTCTCATCCCCTTTCAACATCTTATCACCGAGACCTATTTACACTCCTTCCTGTTAGCAGAGCAGCACAACGGTTGGCATTTCCAACATCAGCACACTCTATCAGTCTGCAGGTTGATGCACCTGTTGTAGAAGCAACTACCCCACAAGCATCGGTTAAAATAATGCCCATAGAGCTTGGTCATGTACTAAGAGACCAAACTGACAACAGAAGAGAAATTAAGCTACCCAGCACCGTAACGACTAGCACACAATCATCAGATCTCGAGCATGCTCTCAGGAACCAAAGTGCAAAATCTGAGGCTTTTTTAATGAATGTCGCAAAAAACAGCCACCTAATAGCATCCAACAATTTGCCCGGTGATGTCCACTGGATAGTAGGCAACTGGAGTGAGGTAAATTATTCTAATTTCTTGTAAGTGGAGAGTGTGAACAGCTGTCTGAACCACTGCCAAGGAAATAAATCTTATTAGTTTGTCATGATTATCTGAAATTAGTATTATACATTCGATTTAAATACTTGGCACATGAAAAAAAGATAACCTGGAATATTTAATATCACGTTACTTATACAGAATATGTCTATGTTTATGAATTCTGCAAAACTGTGCATAATTGGACACTGAAATTTCAAGGTACCAGCCATATCAGTTCACAAGTCCACAGGGCCTGATGGAATTCATCCCAGGGTACTGAAGGAACTTGTGGATGTTATGGCAACCCCTCTCAATCATCTGTTAAAGGTCTTAGAATCATAGAATGTCAGTCTGGGGAGAAGCCTGCTGACTAGAAGCTGGCCAATGTTATTCCACTGTACAAAAAGAGTGTGAGGGAAGACCCAGGGAACTAGAAAACGGTTAGTCTAACTTCAGTTCCTGGAAAAAATATGGAGAAGGTACTGAGTGCTGTTGAAAGGCATTTAAAGAACAAGGCAGTCATCAGGCACAGTCAGCTTGGTTTTACAGAATCATGGAATGGTTTAGGTTGAAAGAGACCCTCCCACCAAACCAGGTGGCTCACAGCCCTGTCCAGCCTGGCCTTGGACACTTCCAGGGAGGGGCTTCCACAGCTTCTCTGGGCAACCTGTGCCAGGGTCTGACCACCCTCACAGTGAAGAATTTCGTACAAATATGTAATATAAATCTCCACTCTTTCAGTTTGAAACCATTACCATTCATCCTATTACTAAACTCTCTCACAGGGGAGGTGGCCCAGCCCCCTGATCATCTTCATGGCCTCCTCTGGGCTTGCTCCAACAAGTCTATGTCCTTTTTATGGTGAGAGCCCCAGAGCTGAAGATGGCCCTGCAGGTGGTGTCTCATGAGAGCAGAGAAGAGGGGCAGAATCACCTCCCAGAGAATGTGACCATGCTCCTTTTGAAGCAAGCCAGGATGCAATTGGCTTTCTGGGCTCTAAGTGCACATTGCTCGCATACATTCAGTTTTTCATTCAACAATACCCCAGTGTCCTTCTCTGCAGGGCTGCTCTCAATCCACTCATGGCCCAGCCTGTGTTTGTTGTTGGGATTGCCCTGACCCAGGTGCAGGACCTTGCACCTGGTCTTCGTGAACTTGATGGGGTTTGCACAGGCCCACCTCTCCAGCCTGTCAAGGCTCCTCTCGATGTGTCTCATCAGGTCCTATGGTCTTGTGCACCTTCAAGTTCCTTGGATGCTCTTGAACCTGATCTTCCCCTGCAGTGGATGTTCTTCATATTTCTAGTCCCTGCTTTTGCATTCTGTGACTTGGGCAGTGTGGCCGGAGCCTTTGCTGGTGAAACCTGAGGCAAAAAAGTCACTGAGTACCTCAGTGTTTTTCATATCTCGACTAACCATGTCTCCTGTTTCCCTCTGGAGAGGGCCCCATTTCCCTACTTTTCCTTTTTTCACCAACATACCTATAAAAACATTTCTTGCTGTTCTTGACATCCCTGGCCAGATTTAATTCTGTCAGGCTTTTGGCTTTCCTGACCTCATCCCTGTTTGCTGAGACAATTTATCTGTATTTCTCCCAGACTACTTGTCCTTATTTCCATGCTCTCTGGACTTACTTTTCGTTCCTGAGTTTGTCCAGGAGCATCTTATTCATCCATGGAGGCTTCCTGGTATTTTTGCCTGACTTCCTGTGTCAGGAGGCAATGCTCCTGAGCTCGGAGGAGATGATCCTTGAATATTGACCAACTTTCTTGGGTCGCTCTTTCCCCTAGGGCTTTATCCAGTGATATTTTGGCAAGCAGAGAGAGGCCAAAGTCCACTCCCTTGAAGTCCAGGGCAGTAAGTTTGCTGCATACCCTGCTCACTGCCCTGGGAATCTTGAGTTCTACTTTTTTACCATCACTGTTTGCAGCATTGTGCCTTTCTCCCTTGGCTCTGTACCTACACACAACCATTTTCGAAAGAATTCTCCGATTTCGCCTCCCTCAGACAAGACATAAAGTTCTGTTAAGTGTGATCTGCCTAGTGTTGTACCTGGAGCTTTATTTGTTCTTCTTACGAATGCTCAAAACGAGGCTTTCCTCAAAAACTAAGCAGCCTTTCAGAAAAGGCTTGGTGTTGCCAGACTGGTATAGCAGGGCTGGGGGGAGCCATCAAACAGTCAGCAACCAAAACAAGGAGAGTCCATCATCTTGAACAGCGAGTTTTCCTGAATAGATGTGTGAACAGTGTTACACAGTCCCCTTAACAGGCCTCTTGGATGACTGTCCCAGGAATCTCGGAGGATGGAGATGATGTGCTGCAGAGGCCTGGGAGATTCACACTCTTCATAATGTGAAGTTTTTCCAAAATTCTTTGTTGTGGCTGTTAACCTTTTTTTCATTTCTCAGACTGCAGCTGGTAACAGCTCCATCTTCAATGTGTTTTTTTTTTTCCCTGCCTTAGCTTCATCTTAGCTTTCCTTATCATTCCAATGACACTTATTCATCTTTCCTTATTTAACTCTCCAACTTCCATGTAGGGAATTCAAACCATGCAATAGCAGTTGCTTTTTTCTTCATTTTGCTGACTTAATCCAAGATTATTTATGTTGCTTCTCATGCCAGCTACAGACTGTTTGGCGTGTGTTGGATTTGACTGTATGTGTATAGTTCACTGTCTTTCCCTTTTTAAGGGAGTCTTTAATTAGTGTATTCAGTCAATTTTCACCCTTTTCTGCTTCAGAATACAATTAAAGTGTGATTTTTTTTTTTGGTGAAGAGTGTGCGCTCTTAGGATATGGACTGGCATGATCAATATTCTCTTACCACTGACACTAAACCCCTCCCAAATGCCAGCAACACTTAGCCACTCTCTGAATTCATAATTTAAAAAGTCCTTTTCCTGAACAGTTTTCCCAAGAGTCTCACACAATTTATTTCAGATTTTCAGTATCATGCACTCAGTCTGCTGGATATCTCATCAACAGTATTAGGGGTAGGGAGGGAACAGTGACAAAGATTGAATGTAATGATATTTTGCACTGGATCCCCAAAGATGACAGAATGAACCAGTGGAACAGCTGGTACAAGTTTAGAGTATCTCAGAAAGCTGCCAAAGAAGAGCAGTGCGTGGTATAAATCAGAATTGGTATTTTCTTAACAAAGCATCAAAAAGCACCCCTTTCAGCCTTAAGGAAGACTTAGGTGAATTTGAAGTCTTCTTCTGAGTATTGCGTATAGGTCATCTAAAACAGCTCTAGATAGTTATGTTTAGGTTCTTGGATTGTTTCTAGAATGATTTACTAACATTGAGTTTGCCCCTGGGCTTTCCTCTCACCCTTGCACAGTGCTCTACCACCTGTGGAATGGGGTCTTTCTGGAGACATGTGGAGTGCAGCAGCAGGAACACATCTCACTGCCAGCACATGAAAAAGCCTGAATCTGCAAGAAAATGTTATCTCCGCCCATGCGCTAGCTGGAAAACAGGAAATTGGAGCAAGGTAACATCATTCAGCGCTGTGTATGAACAGCAAGCTTGCTAACTTCAAAGAATAGGGAGTTCTCAATACTTCATTTCAAAAATATTTACTCAGTGAATGCATGCATGATTCCCAGTTGACCATTCAGCACTAATTTCCTGATTTCCTGACTAAGTTATTTATGGAAACACATCTGTTGTGAATTCTGCTCTTCCTGTGGGGACATCACCCTCATTAACTCTTGCATCTAGAGCTAAAGCAGGGCTCACCATCCACACTCTGTAGAAATCCTAGGGCAGAGCTGTACAAATCTGCATGTGGCACCTTTTTCATTTCTGCCTGCAGAGGCATATTGTAATTTTAAGAAGCAAATGGGAATCTGGGAGAGGAATATGGCATGTTCCAGTTCACCCTTGCCACCTTGTATTATCTCTTATGTGACATCGTCTGTTCGCTATTCGTGTAAGCTCTTATTTTACATTACAAAAACTAAAGAAAAATATATTGGGGAGAATGCCTGTTATGGCCTAGGGCCTTATTTGGTCCTAGGTGTGTACACAGGCTTGATCAACAGACACAATAGTGTCCAAGATGGTAAGTGGAACCCAAGGAACTGTGTTTGAGTTCTTTTTCAGTGTGTGGTAGACACTTGGGAGGACTTTGGTGACTTGTCACATTTTGTCTTTGTGCTGTCTAAAACTGGCATTTCACACAGCAGGTTATTTTTCAAGACTCAAAAGAGAAAAGCTACAGACTTCTATATGAAATTGATTTCATAAAGGAAAATATCTTCCAACCTTCTCAATCCTGTCTTTTTTTTGTGGACAGTGTTGTAGTAATTTTGCTACGGGGCAGATTCATACAAAGAAAAGGTTATAGTTACAAAACCTGTGTTACATTGTTGAGCTCTTTGACAGGGAATTGATTTGTGGGTGAAATACATGCCTGTTTGGAAAGTCCAGGAAAGGCCAAGGCATTACATAACTACATTTAAGCCTTCAAAATTAATTTTAAATGATGCATAGTTGTTCTGCAGTCCTGGTTACAGTAGGGCATACTTCACCTTCGCTTTTTCTTCATCAGTGTTATTGCTCTTGAGACAAGTGGGTGATAGTTATGTCACAGAAAATAGCTAGGAATCAGTTTTAATGATAAAATATAATGTGAAACAAATTTGAAGTGTCAGTCCAATTGTGAGTCCAGTTTGAGACAAAAGGATTTTCTTAGCAAATTTCTCTTTTGTTTGTCAAGTCTTATTTTATAAATATTTATTTATATTTAACTGTACAAAACTAATTACAATTTCCTATGTAAAAATGACTATTTTTGGTTTGCTTTTGCAAGTGGCAGTTGTTTTCCTTGTTGTTCATTTCAAACATTTTTAAGGCACCTTATCACAGCAAGGTGGCTATATTCCCCTGCTAGTGCAGTAGAAATTTCTCTGTTCCTTTGCTCTCATCTAATTCATCCCCTCCCCTAATAGAAAAGTCCTTCAGACTGTGTCTTACAGCCTGGCTTTAATACCAGATATGATTTGCATGTATTTGGGGGCTGTTTGTACTCAGTTGCACGGTCACTTCTGTCTGTTGTTTCTCTCCAAAGGGATAGGAACTTGGGTGAACAGGAACGTGGGCTGCCCTTCCATCCATCCTTCAGCTCCCTGGAGAAGTATTGTATTCAGCTTCCTTGTTCAACTTAAAAATATCTATTTAGGCAACTGAGAACAGCATCAATTGTTATACTGCGTCATGGCATGTCTTATGAGGGGTGGCTGAGGGAGCTGGGATTGCTTAGTCTGGTTAAGAGAAGGATGAGAGGAGACCTCATTGCTCTCTACAGCTACCTGAAAGGAGGTGGTAGTGAAGTGGGGATTGCTCTCCCAAGTGACAAGTGATAGGACAAGAGGAAATGGCCTCAAGTTCCTGGTATCCTTAGATATCAGCAATAATTTGGTGAGGCATTGAAACAGGCTGCCCAGGGAAGTGGTAGAGTTACCATCCCTGGAGATGTTCAAAAACCGTATAGATGTGGCACTTTGGAACATAGTTTAGTGTTCATGGTGGACCTGATGATTTTAGAGGTCTTTTCCAACCTTAATGGTTCTATGGCAGTAAAGGTGAAAGCTGATTGGAGGTTTTTCAGTGGTGTAGACAGAATTGGCTTTAGTACTGAGTGAAGACAAAATAATTAAATGTGTATTTGTCCTTATCCTTGGAGTAGCAAATTCAGTTCTTCCTCAGCAGCAGGAGAGGTCCTGGGCTTTAGTACCTGGGGAGAGAACCTGCTGCTGCTGCATGAAGCCTTCGAGCAAGCTCTGGGGACGTACAGGAGGATGAGGGTCTTGCTTGGCTCATCAGTTACGCTCCAAGCTGAGAACCAATTTCACAGGCTTTATGTGAGGCTCAGGGTGTCTCTGTCTCTCATGCACAGGCTGCTCATGGGGTATGGGTCCTCCTGGTGCCACGGAGGAACAAGGGAGGTGAGGGTGGGAACGGCTGCCATGGGATGAGTCCATCATCTCCCAGTGTTATCAGCAGCAGTTGACATCTATGGGCTAAGACAAGGAGTGGTTTTGCCAGCCCGAGAAATCTTCTGCCATGGACACTAACTCCTCCCATGGCTGAATAAGAGATCAGCTTCTGCAGCTCTTTCCTCCCTTCCTCCCTCAGAAGCAACTAAAAACCCGACAGTTTTGCTGCATATGAGATTTATTTATTGCATCATGACTCTTTCACTAGGACCTTTTTTTTAAATAGTTGGCCTGATTTTCTAATTTCGTATGTATTCATGCTATTAACAGATGTTCCAGTGGAGAAAGTATGTTCTGATTTGCTATGATGAAAACCACGATTTTTAGGCCTGAAAACAGATTGTTGTTACGGTAAACTGGAAATCCCCTCTGTGAGTCAGGACTCTAGAAGATGAGTCTGTCCTCCTTCTCTGTGACTGGGAATGTGGAGAGCCCCTTGGTGGAGCATCATTTCGAGGTGTGCCCCTTTCTGTTTTGTGCACAGTGCTCTGCTAACTGCAACGGCGGCTTCAAGACCCGAGATGTTCACTGCATTGATGTCCGTGAAAAGCGACTTCTAAGGCCTTTTCATTGCCAATTACTCGGATATAAACCACAGCTCAACACAAGTTGTAACCTGCAGCCTTGCTTGCAGTGGCATGTGGAGCCCTGGAACCAGGTATTGTTCTTTAAAAGAAGCATTGGGAATGAGCAATTAGCTGTCAATTAACAGTGCCCCTTAGATCCCATGCTCTTAGTGAACTTTCACTCAGAGGAAGACCATAGTTAGTACTACTCAGAGGCTCTGTAGTCCTTGCTTGTGGTTAGAGCAAAAATCATCATAGACGTTCATAAGAGTTCCCAGAATCATTCTTAGGATTGCATGTGATACACAGCTAGAACTGTGAATTTCCATACCCTGAAAGAGAGAAGAGATGGCCTGGCAGAAGATTCGTTTTAACTGTTCTGCTGGATCAGTAAATGTGATTCATTCAGACTGATGGCCTTTGCTGCCATTTAAATATTTCTTTCTCGATATGATTGATTTAGAATTTTCCTTTACGCTTTTGGGCTGGAATTTTCTGGGATCAGAGAATGAGGTCAGACTTTTGGGTCACTGTGTAATGTAAACCTGTGCCAAAAACTCACAGGCAGCCAGGCACGTATTTATGTCAGCTAAAGCATGTGGTCCCACAGTGCTTACTGCCCCTAAAAGAAGCTTTGGAGAAAGAGCCACACTGTTCACGGCACAACGGAGCTGATGCTTTTTGATGTCAAGGGAAGTGAACACATTGCTTTTCCTTACAGACCACTGACAAATCACACCTGCAGTAAGGAGGAGAACAGAGTTTGTCTTTGATGTCAGAGCAGTCAGCAAGGGCTGAAAAAATGGGATTGCACCCATTTGCCACTTAAAATATTTTATAAAAACACTTGCTTAACCCTGACAGTTGTCCTCATTCTAAGGGTACTGGGTAGAATTGGATTGAAAAGGTTCGTTTATCAGACGTGAACTCTGGTCCTCTGCACGGATACAGTTCCTTGTAGGGCAGGAACAATGCATTATTCAAAGTGTATATTGCACCTTATTTCATGTCACAGTACAAAGTCATTTGTGTATTTTAAGCAGGCTCTGCTGCAGATCTAGTGAGCGATAGTAAAAAATCAGTTAGGAAATAATACAAGAATGTGGACAAAAAAATGTTTAAAAAATAACCTGGGTCACTGTCTTTGTTAAACTATTGTATGGGTTGGGTGAATTTTAATGTCCCTAACTGCCTCATAAAAATGAGATGTTGCATCTCATGAATTTCTACTGTGTTCAATAAATGTTACAGATTAATCATGCAGACGTGATTTCCAATTCTTGTTAAAGAAGTTACTGTTGCTGGTAGTGCTGCATGCATAGTTCTGTTGTGGGTTTTATGTTGCCATTTCCATGCTATCCTATGTTCCTTGCATTAATGTGTGTCAGGAACAGCTTTCCCTCAGGTATTCTGGACCAATAACGGCTTCTTCCCTGTCCATCTCCAAGCATATGGTTAAATAAATGTCCCTGTGCAAGCTTTTCTTCATATCTAGACTGCAAGACTTGAAATGCAGGCTAGCCTTTACTCATCACACATGTCCATGACATGCTTCTTGTTACCTATGGCTCCACATTTCTAAATAAAGAATATTTTCTACTGCCTTTTTTATGTCTCTTTCTGGTTTGTCATTCCTTCCCACCTCTCTGCTCATGGATTTGTGCACCTCTTTTGTTAGTGTTCAAGAACATGTGGTGGTGGCAAGCAAAGACGACATATTTACTGCCCAGAAGAGGGCTACTGCGACCTGACAAAAAGACCTAATGCCGTTGCATCATGTAACAGACAACCTTGTACACAGTGGAGTAACCAGACATGGGGCCCGGTAGGTTTCAGTCCTTTTTTTGTTTTATTTGTTGTCATGAGTTAGCCATATTTGGTCATATTATCCACTTGTCTGTGAAAGTCAGTGCCAATGGCACTAATCTAAGTTTCTTATGCACAGCTGGAGCTACAGTGGGAGATCTGTTTGAAAATACTAGTAAACATTTCAGAGCCAGCCCATCTCGGTTCCTTCAGGTGGTAGACATTGTAGCCTTTACTTTCTGTTGCTGAATCAGATGTTGTTGAAGGGCTGGGTTTTTTCCCCCTCTTCTGTTAAAGGAGATACCATTGACATTCTTCCGTTACTCATTTGATATTTAAGGGGTGAGCCTTAAAACAACTTGCCCACACAGCCAGAAATTCTGCATTTTGACTAGTAGCCTTCTACTGGAAATGTAGTTGACATATATGAGGTGTACCTTTGGGGAACCTTCCATTATCTGCAATGCATGTTTAGTTACAAAGAAATTGATGTGTCTAATAAACCTTTCCCTCCAGTTTCCTTAATAAATATATTCATACATTACAAATACTCCTCACAGCAGAAGAGAACATTAAAAGAACACCAAAAGCCAGGAACCACAAATAAGGAAACAATGGACAGTCATTTAACACAGAAATGTAATGAGTTGGTTTTGACATAAAGCTATGAGATGGGATACGAATATAATGTCATGTAAAGTTCATGTAACTCTTAACATTTAAATATGGAAGTGAAAATGCTGGGGCATGCATAAAATAAGCAACTGAATACAAAAATATATGGTGGCTATTTTACTTTATTAATTGCCATAAGAGCAATTAGTTGCCATAAGAGTATCTAAGATCTTGAAATGTGCTTCACATCAGTAATATTGTGTCCTATGCACAGAGATACACAGTAGAGAAAGGAAAATTTGCAGAAAAATTAAAGAGGTGCTTGTCCTGCCTACATCTCTCGTGCTCAATTAGCTGGCATTCTCTATCTATTGGAGTATTTATTTTGCTGCCAACTATTTATGTGAGGTGAAAAAGAATTTAAAATTAACTGGAATTTTCAGATGCTTTAGGATGTTGGAAGAATAAAGTACATTTGAAGAAGAATACGGGAATATGCATTGAAAACATTGGGGTTTTTAATGGCCGTCTGTGTGCAGCCTGAACAAGCAGCTGGCAGTTGTTTTGCGGTCATAAAGAAAGGATAACCACCGTGTAAATGTCGCCAAAGAAAAAGCTTCTCATTGAGCTTTTTTAAAATCTTCAGCTCAGTCATTTCTAGACCTAACATGGCAATTGATTATTCATGTTTGATTTAGATGATGAGAGAGCACAGAAAACAAAATATATCTTTTCTGTGCTCTCTCATCATCTAAATCAAACATGAATATGTCAGTGTGCAGTACTAATTTGGATTATGATTCTTTTACTTTGTAGGACGAGCATTTCAGGTCATCCTCATCCTCCTCTGTAGAAAACAGTCACCCTGGTTACCCATTCCAAGATGTTGTATTTGTACTATTTATTCCTCAGCTGTATCCTGCCAAATCAGTTCCATTGGTTCTGGATTATATGGCATTTTTAACTTCCCATCCCATTACAGCTCAAATATTGGCATATTACACAATTTCCAAGTAAAAGACTTCTATGTATTTTAAAATTACTCTCTTTCAGTGCACCGTTGCTTGTGGAGGAGGCATTCAGCAAAGAGCTGTGAAGTGTATGAATATAGAAACTAACAAAACTGAAGATGACAGCATGTGTGTGGATAAACCCAAGCCCACAGAGTATCAGAGGTGCAACGTACAAGAGTGCAGGAAGAGTATAGGTATGATCATACACCTGCATCAGACACTTTCCAAAAATCTCTCTATTTGCATGAGTTTCTGCAAAAACTGGGAGCCAGTTTATCAGATTGCTGTGCATACTGCGGGCTCAGTAATTATAGTTCAGTCTAACCTGCTACTGCTCAGCTGCACTGTTGGCAGAATCACGTTGTCATGTTCTCCAGCCCTCCTGTCGTTGCGTTGCCATGGGCAGTGCAGTTCTCTGAGCATGCATCCTTGATTTATGATGCCACAACTAAATGAATAAATCTGCTTGTATTAGCCTGTTGTAGGTTGCTTTGAGGGCTATGGAAGGACATGCTGTGCATCCAACAGATGACATTTCCTAAAATAGGTACCCCTATGGGAACTGCAGATTCTGGACGGGGAGTGCAAGCAATCAAAGTGAGACAGACACTGTAAGGAACATCTGACTGGCGGTGAACCTAGATACAGTCTTGGCATTATGAATTTGGTGTCCGGAAGGGTGAGACTGTCACCAAAATGAAGAGTTGGAGAGAAGTCCTCTTGTGACTCAGCGTGTCCTATACCTCTTTCCTTCAAGGGCCCAGGAGACCAGTTCCATAGAAGCTTACAGAAGGGTATCTTTATCTGTAGGCTATGTACTGCAGTATTCAGCAGGTACCCTCCAGTAAGAACAGCAATGACTCAGAGTCCTTCTGGGAAAGCCTTCTAAGGCCTTTTGGAGGAGGATTCCTCCCTCTCAGCAAGTCAGCAGTGAGAGTCTTATCTGACAATGAGACAAGAGGTTGACCTTTGAGGGCAGTGTAGATCCAGTGGGTGTTTGAGAGTGATGCATCACTCTTCCTGCCGTTCAAAAATCTTCAGCACATGTTTTGCCCGAGGGTCAAACTGGTCTGCTTATCTCCTGTCCCTCTCATGTTCAGAAACACCAACTCTTATAAATATTACCTACATAGATTAGTAATAATTATTTCTGTGAATGAAAGCTCAAGAGGCCAGTAGAACGTAAGCCCTACTGGGCAGACCAGTCGTTGATCCAGCCCAATATTGTGTCTCCAGTGATGGTATTAGAAGAGCCTGCTTAAGGAGAATATAGGAGTTTAGTCCTTCCCTGTGGATGATTTCCATGATATTCCTCCAGCATTCCCAACTGACATATTAGGACTATTAAAGGCATCCCCTGTTGTAATATCTGACACATCTCATTTTTAAAGCTACCACAGACCTATCAGCAACTTAATACATACAGTACCAGTCCCTGACTTTTTATCTGGTCCTGCAGAAATTGAAGGTGAAGATGTAGTTGCATGTGCCTTCTGCCAGCCCTGCATGGCTCTGCAGCACACTGCCAGCCCACTGCTCTTGTATTAAAGGCACTGTTACAGGAATGCAAAAAATACCAGACTCACAAATCACTGTTGCTAGACTTTTTATGTCAGTTCTTAAAAGCACAAACATTAAAGTGAAAAACATAGATGAGCTATACCCGCTGCAAAAGTAAAGCCTCGCTGAACAGTAATAAAAAGAACGCTGTGTTTTCCAAGACAGAAGGTAATGTGAAATTTAATAGGACTTGTTCATTTAAAAATTCTAAAATTTCAGGGATTGTGCTGATCTATAATACAAAAGAAGAGAAAGCCATCATAAGCAAGAGCCATAACAAGCATGACTGGCATAAAGCAGTTTAAAATTCTAGAAATGCAGATGATTTGTTAGCAAAATGTAGGTAATTCTTCTCATCTTCTCCACCATAGGGCTACTCTGCAGCAAAGACCAACTGTCGATTCACTTCTGCCAGAGGCTGAAGGGCATTGGCAAGTGCGTGCTGCCTTCCATACAGACTCAGTGCTGCTTCACGTGTAGTCAGCCCCGAATTCGTAACAAAACAAGATACTGGGATCAGCGCATCTTCAAACAACAAAATTACACTAAATCTAGAAGAAAATCACCTCAAAACCAAGAAAACAACCAGGCTGCTCAGCACTGACTGTTTTTTTTCTAGTTGCTTGGGGTAGGACTTCGCTTTACAGATTTTATGTTCCTTTGTTTTTTTCTGAACCGTCCAACATCCGTGGAAATCTGTGATCAAAACTGGGAAAACACATCCCTTAGGGTTATCAGTCCTGATTTACTGCTTCGAATTTTTATGTGTAATAGTCCAAAATTTGTAACATAATCTGCAATATACCAGCAGCTAGTACTTCTTAAGTATGCATAGAGGCTAGAAGAAGGCTTGCAAGATTTATTTTTTTTTAAATGAATGTTTTACTAGTTCTTTCTTCCATGTCTTTTTCTGAACCCCACTTGAAACGGCAGCATCACTTACTGAGTGCTGAGTGAAGGCGGCCAGGGGGGCAGCAAGCACAGACCAGCACTGTGGGCCAGATCCCTCTACACTCACTCACTTTTCTATTTTTAGGAATCAAGATGAAGTGACTGTGTCTCTCTAAATTGTTTGCTTACTTCAGAAATTTGAAAGGAGCATTTTGTAGTAACTGATTATTATATGCAAGCCAAATTGGAACACTGGGTCTTGCAAAAGGAAAAATGTTCATTTAGTGCTTGACTGAACAAATAGCCTGTCCTGGGCAATTGTCTTCTGTTACAAATGTCTTGCTCTACCCTGAAAATCCCACCAAATATGGGGTAAGTCCCCAAATACTTTTTAAGCAACATTTCTTGGTACAGTGGAAGCTGTTTGCATCTACCATCTTAATAGATTGTAATTCATAGCAATATTCAGTGGTAGAACTATCATTTAATCAAGTGGAATGTAAGCCCACACCCACAAGAGTACTCTGTCACCTCACTCACAGCAAACTTTTCCCCGAGTGCAAATCCTTCACCATATTGAGGGTGAGGGCATCTGGGACAGGAGCCTGAGACCCAGAGTATCTGCTTAGCTCTGGGCTTCAGGCATGTTAGGAGAGTGCTAGTGAACTAGCATATCTGTTTTGCTATTGAAGAAAGTGGCAGAACAGACTTCAGGGAGACCAGACTGGACCCTTTAAAGCATTTTCAGAAGAGCTGGACAGAGTACGACATTTAGATTTCTTTGAAATTCGGTAGGATTGGGACACCTTGGTTCTTCATGCTCTTTTGAAAATCTCGGATTCACTCCCTAACTACCTGACAAACTGAGATTGTAATACGGGGAAATGTCACATTTTATGCAGTGTAGATTGAGACGTATAACCATGAATCTGTCACTATGGTTACAGAGCTATGACTAGAAGTATCTGTATTTCTAGGCAGACCTTTATGAAAGGTAATAGAAATATTTGGGCCTAGCTATAATGTATTAATGTCATGATGACCACAAGTCTAATTGTCCTTTTTCAGAGGTTTATGACCTTTTGCTAAGGGCTCACTTCTTCACTTGAAGCCTCTGGGAGTTCAGGATATGCAATGTGGTAAGATTAGGTTTATTAACCTCTGTGATGGCAATATAACCACAGTTACAGGTGCTGATAAAACTTAAAATCCACTGTTAAAAATATGGTGCTAGTATAACAGATGTGGGGGATGACTTACAGTGGTGCATGTGCATGCATGTGTGTACATAGCACACATGCACGTACTCTTTAAATAACATGTCTGTGGCGTTGCTGGCCAATGCCGGACATAATGTTTTTCAAGTTTCACAGTGTGCATATGACTTTTCTGAGGTACTGAATGGCTACTGACCCTTTGAGCAACAGAAATCTGTGCAGTTCTTACTCCACTGGGCACAGAAATACTGAATCATGTGAAGGAGTGGAGGTGTCCCATCTGGTTTGGGAAGCATTTCATCAGGGCTTGTCCTCAGGCTGCGTTGCGGGGAGCAGAGCCTGTGCTGCTGCGTCCAAGGCAGTTCTCTGATGGCCAGACAACTAGACCAGTGGACTGATGTTCCCAGAAGCGTCTTCAAGGCTTTGGGCAGGACAAAAGATTGACTTCGGAGTCAGACTCTTCTGTGCTCAGAGGTACCTGCAATGTTTCGTCCGCAGAGGTCAGCAGAAATAGTCTGTGGGGTAATGAGAAGGAGCTGACTGTGTGGGTATAGTGCCGGTGGGAGGAAAAGTACCTGGGAAGGTTGTCCCTTCCAGTGCTCCTTATGGCTTGTGTGGAGTAAAACCACTTCTGGTTTCATTGTTTTCTTCAGGGAGCTGTAATTTCATTTGAAATGGATAAAAGTGAATAAATTATATTATGGACATTAAAAATAATCTTTCTACCCAGGGAAGCACAGTTATCACTGTTGCTCAGCTTAAACCTTTAGGGAAAAGACTGTGACAACAAGATGAACTGTTTTAATAGAGCAGTGCCACTGCTGTATTCTACATAGGTTCTTACGTTGCACTCATCAGCCTAATATCTCCTCTATGCTAATAATATGTGTGGTCATCTCTCCCATCCATTTAGCAAGATTCCTTCCTTATGGTATAGTTATTTTTGAGTAAAAGTGGATTTTTGATCCTAACCCAGATGTTCTGAAAACCAAATAGAGTGTTAAATGCAAAGGTGTAGTATCATTATATTATGTTAGCCTGAGACACATCAGCTTCAACAGGTTGCTCAGGAAAAAATGTGTATTTGGCACGTTCACTGCTTGTTCTAACTTTTCAAGGTTTAGAAAACAAACTATGATGACATACTTATTTCAAGCTTCAATAAATGGCATTGCTTATGTCTGATGTCTCTGGTGTTTTGTGTTTCCAGTGTAAGCAGATTGGTAAGATGGAATTCCAAGGGAAAAAAAAGCTTTGAATATATCTTTCCTACTGCAAGGGAATCCTCATCATTGAGGTATTTTGATGCTTGATGTATCAACATAAAAGAGATCATTATAAAGGGTGAGAGGAAAAAGTAGCATGATAAAGCATGATGCTAAGTAAAAATATACATTAATAAGCTTGGTTATTTCCTATGAAATAAATGACATCCTTAGCACTTCTAGTACAGGCAGATGTGCCTTAGCTCCTTGACAGCAGATGTGTGTGTCTGTTGTGGGATGTATCTGTTCTCTTGAAAAGTTGTATAGAATATGATCTTGCCTACTCCCCCACTCACTCCTTCCCTCTACCCCACAAATTTTTTCAATACTCGAGTTTTGCAAGTTCTGCTGATGCCCAGAAACTTAATCACACCAACTCTGATCCTTGACATGCAGCCCAGGAGCACAGTAATTGCAATTAAGTGTATATGCTTGGGTAGGGAGCACCATCAGTTTGCACTCAGTTGTCAACTTCCACCCATGGACTCTTACACACATTAAGCCTCGTAAAACCCTGGGGAAGTTGCAGGGAGTTGCTGCTTCTTGCTTCACAAAATAAGTGTGGATCTTCAGCCCAGAGGGACAACATCCTGCATAAGTCCTCTAGGGGAGAGGAGTTAATTGAGAAATTTGCGAAGGCTCATTATGCATCCCCTGGGTGACCTGCTGCATGACACAGCCTGACGAGCAGTCTCTGCTGCCTGCTGCATGGCTTTTGGCTGCCTAGCATCAGCTCAAAATGGTATCAACATGCAGGGAAAACATTGTGCTTGTGGTTCTAGTGATTCCCAACATGATGAAATAGAGTCCCTAGAGTGTGGGTGGATTTGAGCAATCATTTGTCCATTTTCCCCCCATGACTTCTGTAGAAAAGCGTTTGTCAGTCAGTGGCTGTAACAGTTTTATGGAATACATCAGAAGTTCCTGATATTACCCATGTTTAAGCAGAATTGTGTGTAGGTAATGCAGGTATAGGCATCTAATGATAGTTACAGGGAGAAGTTAATTACTAGATTTCATAAGCAATCACTGACAGATTATCTGCTCATTGTTATATATGCATCTTCTATCTGTCCATTTTACACATTGGTTTAGGGCACTTTGAGATCCAGGGCACTGCTCAGGAAGATGCTGAATGTCCATGTAGTGACAGCAAACTGTACATCACGTTGTGCCTCAAGCCATCAGGTACCGCCATGCAACTAGCTGACTGCGGGATGTTAGGCATCTTCCTTCCCTAAGCCTTTCTAAGGCTGCTGGCTGCAAAGGTGAGTGTGGTTTGTGACAGCAGCCCTGCTGTGAACCAGTCCTGGCTAAATTAAAGGCCAGACAAGTGTCCTCAGCATCAACCTCGAATAACTTATTTCTTAAGCTGTGTTTCATGTGGGGTCTGTACATTGTGATGTCAATGTACAGTAAGAACTAGACCTCCGCAGGACATTTCTAGGTGTGAGTACACTTCTAGGATGTTTCTAGGTGTGAGCATGATGATAGGATGAGATGAGAGAGAAGTAAGTATTTGAGGAGAGGCATTCAAGATGGAGGTACTTAATGCAGTGGCACAGAGAAATAGGTTAATTTTGTGGATAAAGAAACACATTACATTGGAGACTTCAGAGAATCATAGAATGTCCTAGGTGACCTTGTTTTCGGTGGGTTATCATGTTCCCATGAACAGGACTTGGTGCCAGGTACCCCTCTCTTCACTGGACTGACAGATACTGCCGTGTTTAAAGGGGCTTGTTCTGCTACAGAATTGTGATTGATAAGAAACGTGGCTTGTTGCTGCTGCCCAGTGCTGTAGCCTCCACAGCCCTTAGACCTGCAGGTGATAGAATATAAGAAGTCCACACAAGGTAGAGGCTCCATCTCTGGAGGCATTCAAGGTCAGGCTTGGTGAGGCCCTGAGGAACCTGGTCCAGTTAAAGATGTCCCTGCTTACTGCAGGGGTGTTGGACTAGATGACCTTTAAAGGTCCCTTCCAGCCCAACACATTCTGTGATTCTATGATTAAGCTGATACTGCTGTGGAAGCCTGCTACAGACCTCCCAGCCAGAGCAGTGAAGTGGCTGAAGCATTCGTTAAGCACTTGGGAGAAATCTCAAGGTCACTTGCTGTTCTCCTTGTGGGGGACTTCAACTTCCCAGCTATCTGCTGGAAATACAACACAGCAGAGAGGCAGCAATCTGGGAGGTTTCTGGAATGTGTGGAGAGTAACCTGACACAGCTGGTAACTGAATTGACTGGGTAAGGCGCCCTGCTGGACCTCCTGTTTGTGAACAGAGAAGGTCTTGTGGAGGATGTGGCAGTTGGAGGCTGTCTAGGGAACAGTGACCATGAAATGATTAAGTTCTCTATTCTTAGAAGTGTTAGGAGAGGGGACAGCAAAACTGTCACTTGGGACTTCAGAAGGGCAGAGTTCGAGTTGTTTGGGAGATTCCTTGATAGAATTCCTTGTGAGTCAGTTTTGAAGAGTATAGGAGTCCAGCAAATCTTAAGAAGGAAGTCTTAAAGGCACAAAAACAGGCCATCCCCATGTGCTGTAAGATGACCCAGCAGCAAAGAAGACCAGCCTGGCTGAACAGGGAGATTTGGCTGAAAATCAGGAAAAAGGAGAGTTTACAGCCTCTGGAAATATAGTAACAGAAGGAAATATAGTAACAAAAGACAAGTATAAGAA